TTTGAAAAGTACTTGACACTTTTTTTTAATAAGTTAATGTATTTTGGAATATTGGTATTACTTTAGGAATTCATTCGTTTTACCCCTTAAAAATTTGGATTCACAAAAATCCCTCCCTAATGGATCTACATGACCAAAAATACATCTATTTTCGATTCACCTTCAGCGTTCAGATGTGCTTAATATACATACATATGTATTTATAAATTATAAATCACTTGAACAAAATCTCCTAGAATCGATCTATAAGACTTTCTTCTGTATTAGCCTCTCATATTAAACATTATGGTATAGGCCATGTCCGACTAAAATATAATAATATTTTCTTTAGTTTCAACTACAAGTTTATAAATAGTTTATTTACATTATAAATTTCCTTTAAATATTTAATAGCTGGTCACTTCAACACTCTTAAACACGTGCTTATATTAAAACAACCCTTAAAAATGTACCAAAACAAAACAACTGTTGCATTAGAAATGCTACCAAAAGCACGTGTTGCTATTTACAAACAAAGCAAATGTAAACAAAACTTTTGTAAACAGAGAGTTAAATGTGGAAAAAAACACTCGTATAAATTGCACTCAAAATATAACACTCTCTATAATAGTAAGCAAGTGCTGGAGAAAAATGGAAAATGAAGAAAAAGCTTTTTGCCACAAAACCTGTTTAACAACAACAATTTCTTGATTAAGGAGAGCACAATGAAAATCTGTTGAGTAGTTTTGAGATATAAAAACAAATAGAATTTCTTTTTTGTGGAAAAATAAACGAAAAAAAGTTTTTCTTCGTGTATGAGTGTTTTGTGTAAGTGATGAAAATTTAGCAAATAGAAATACGACTTTAGTTTTTGGCAAAACGTGCGCGTGTACGGTTGTTTAACATAAAACGTTTTAATGAGTTTGATTTAACAATAATTTTATTTAAAGAATATTTATGAAAAATATAAAGCAAGTTTTTAAATCAAAAAAGAAACTAATTTAACTGGTGTTAAAAATACTAATTAATTGTTTGTAAATTTTTGGTTGGTTAAAGATTTAAAAGTGCTATTTTATTAAGTGTTTAAGGAAGTGATATAAGAATTATTAAATGATTATTTGAACACTTAAATGACTTTTCCAAAAAAAATAGTGAAATATTGTGAAAACTCATTTATATCTTCCTTTTTTTTTTGTTCTACTGAACGCACAATTTACTTATTCATAGTGCGTTCGATAATCGTGTCAGTTTTTAAATAATCTTGTTTTTTTCAATTCACAATTGCAAATTTGTAAATGCAATTTTGTTTTCCATTGCCAGCACATTACAATGCAACAATAACAGATGTTGCTGTGAAAGCCGAAAGTTTTTTTTTTTTTTGCAAACGGCTGCTAAATGTTGCATCATGACACACATATCATTTCAACCATTTTATATTCCAAAGTGCAATTGATTGGAAAATCATTTAATTTGACGTCAGGCCCAAATATAAAATATATTAAGCAAAAAAAAATCTTACAATTGCGATAATACAATACACAAAATTCATACAATTGTATTTACTTGTAAATGTTCAATTTGCAGTTTAATTTTATTTTTTCACAATACAAAACAAACGAATAAAAATATTCATAGAGTCTCCATTAATGCCCCCTCTCTGTAGAATAAATATTTGTTTTAAATACAAAAAATTATTTATTTCTTTAACAAAAAGTGTTTTCTTAAATATTTTTAGTTTTAATAAAAGAAAAAATCACAAAAAACTCAACATATTTTCTTTAAACAATTTCATGCCATGTTGCATGATCCAGTTGATGATTGTAATACACAATTAAATTTTAATTATCTTCTTCGCTGTCTAAACAAAATTTGAATTTAAACAATCAAACATTGTCTAATAGTCAATTATCCCCTTTGGATGCCTCCATCTCTAATTCACATGAATTTTCAAAAAAATCGAATATCAAAGAAAATTTATTAATTTCATTTTCGTTGAATCCAACAAAAAGTGATTTATTACCTGCCTCGAATAGTGCTGAGAAATTAAGTTGGAAATTTTTCGAACAAGTCGATTCACTTGATAATCAGCTAAGAAGTGATGTGGTAAGTAACAATTTTAATTGATTTACTTTTGCCATAAATATAATAAATAGTGTAATGTTAAAGTTATTTCAGTAAATAAGGAAATATTTTGAAAATTATTCATTTACCTTTAGAATTTTGGATAAAAATACAATACTAGCATACCCTGGGTACTTCGCTACCCTAACTTAAATTAAATACATACAAAATTTTGTTTACTTTTATAGAAAATTAGAATTGATTAAACATTTGTTTAATGTTTCAGTTTTATACGTTTTTACCTAAGTGGAAAGTACTAATAAAAATTGTACAATTTTCCCCTTTTCGCTTAGAAATTTACTTTTTCGAGAATTAAGTTCACAAAATGTTCCGTATTTAAATATATATATCACAGATAAAATGCAAACGATTCAAATCTGCATTCATTTGTTCCACAAAAATAGTGCTTTCAAAAAGTACCAAACAATTAACTCGAATTTGGTCCTATTTAGATAGGCCTTAGTACTCGAATTCCAAATAATATACCAACAGCTTATTTTGTGTGAGTAAATAAACTACTTTTTCAAATTTATAAAAATTAGCTCAATGAGTTTGAATAAAATTAAATTTCCCGTTTTTCCCCTTTTTGTACTTTTTTTCCCAAGTGAAATAGCAAAAGTTTTATTACAATAAATATTACAGAGTTAGTCCGTAATTTAATAGGAATAATTCAATAAACCGAAAAAGTTTTCTTAATGTGCTAAAAAAAAGTACCTTAAATACAGTTTTTTTCCTTTTAACACCCAAAAAGGACAGAATTTTAGTAAAAGTACGAAACAAGTGTCTCATCATTTTGGGAATTGTATCCAAAATATTTATAAAAATTTTATTATGTTAATTAGTTCAAAAGTTATAAAGGGCCAAAAAAAGGTACCAAAATCACCTTTGATACACATTTTTACCCCTTAAAAGTACGAATTTCAAAAAAGTACCAGACACCCATCTGCTCGTTTTAAGAGTAGATACAGGTGCATTTAAAATTTTCTTGTATCACTAATATTGTGTAAGGTAATTAAGAAAACCTATTTTACCCGTTTTTCCCCTTTTTACTCGTAAATGTACAAGTTTCCAAAAATCCCTGCTTAGTGGATCTACATAACCAAAAACACATCTACTGTCAAAATTTCATGATTCTAGGTTCAGCCGTTTGGGCTGTGCGATGATGAATCAGTCAGTCAGTAACGCTACTCTTTTATATATATAGATTAATGGAAATTGTAAATGTTTTTCACAGTAATTGATAGAGGAATTTTAAGCAGTTTTGTTTGTATAAATAAAATAGTTTCTGGTTTTCTTACGTATAAAATATGCAAATATTTTTGTAAATTTTTTGTTTACGTTTGGAATTAGGAATTAGGAATCAATTTGTATATAAAGCAATAATAAAAACTACTTAGTTTGACTGGATTTTATAATAAAGTTGTGTGAATATATGAACTTTCGATCCAAAAATGTTAATTTAAGTTCTTATACTAACCCCATTATTCACAAACAAAATTTTTATTTTATAAAAGGTTTATAAAACAAAATTTCCATACAAAATCAAATTTATAAACCGTTTATAAAATAAAAATTTTGTTTGTGAATAAGGGGGTAAGTGTTTTTACGGATTTTAAAGGATAAATTTACTTTTTTAGGTCATTTATGGTCCAAACTTGAACTCTCATTGATTTTTGTCAAAACGTCTCTTATTACTTGATTTTAAACAATTCATCGACAATAAATATAATTTTCCTAAGAGGGATAGGTCAAATGGGCGGACATGGCTAAATTGTGTCAGAATTTTTATACCACGACAAATACGTATGATTGATATTTCTTTAAGTTATTAATTATTTAATACTCATACGCACAATTTAAGTGTTACTCTATTCTGCAATGAAATTTCACCTTTAAGAATAATTATAATAGTATTTAAGATATTAATATCTACAGTGATGGAGAAACTAATAGAAACGATTTTATTTTGTGGTGAAAACTAAATTTTCCCATAAACTACCTCTTAGATTTTGGTGATTATAATCTCAAATAAAAGGTATTTAACTCTTCTTTCATATGATATATCTATTTTATAGATTTTTTTGCTGCATCGTATTTTATTGGTATTCAAATAATTAGGCATTGGAAAAAATAATAGAAACAATTTTGCAAAAGGGGACATTAGCTAAAATATCAGAAAGGCGTTTTTGTATTTAACTAGCTATACCAAGTGTGCTTTGCTACACTAAAAGCAAAAAAACCCACTTACACATGGGAGATGCCACTCAAATTATTGCAAGTTCGCCAATTTTTCCGAATTTAATTAATATGTGAGGGGCCAATCACCCCATTGAAAGTCCTCCAATTTTTCTCTAAATGTTCACATGAATGTTAAAGTTCTTCATGTAAAATTTGAAGATTCTAGCTTCAACAGTATCTCAGATATACACATTTTTCTATATAAGTCCGTTTTTTATCCCCCAAAATGTTCAGATGAATATGAAACTCCTTTTTGCAAAATTTTAGGAATCTAGTTCTATTAGTTTCTTAGATAAATATTTTGTTGTATTTAATTCATATGGGAGGTGCCACTCCCCCCATTAGTAGTCCGCCAATTTATTACACAAAATATTGCCCTGGATGCTAAAGTTCTTCTTGCAAAATTGGAAGCTTTTAACTCTAATAGTTTCCAAAATAAACGAATTTGTGTATTTAATTAAGGAGGTGTCACGCCCCTGCTACTAGTCCGCCCACTTTTTATCCTAACTAATCACATTGAGACTTAGTATGTGGCTCCGACCAAATTTGAGGGCTCTAACTGTTACATTTTCCGAGATATACTGATTTAATATTCTCTTAATATGGAAGGTGCCACGCCCACTATAGTCATTCCGCCCATTATTCTTATGGATGTCAAAGTTGTCCGTGCAAAATTTGAGAACTCTGATTGTACCAGTTTCCAAGATATATGACTTTTAATAGCTATTAAATAAGTAGGCGTGACAACTCGCCTATTTGAAATTTAAAATAAAAAGTAGCCTATAGTTCCTTCCAGATATACAGGAAGGTACTGTTAAAATTTCAAGAAAATCGGTCTAGCCGTTTTGCCGTCTATAGACTTCAAACAAATAAACACACATTCATTTTTATATATATAGATTTTGAAAACTTTAATTATAAATGAAGTTCTTAATATAAAATATAATTTTTACTTTGTTTTTTTTTGTGACAACGATCGTTTTTTTCACCGTTTAATATATCGTAGGGACCCCACATTTCAAATATCTTAGATAAAATGCACAGATAGTGAAAGAAATTACTTTACATGGTTAAATTATATAAGAAATTAGTTTTTGAGAAAATTTCCAGCCTAAAAAGTTTTAGATCCACTTATAGATAATGGCAATCCACCGATTTTTAGGCAAAATTTCGAGTTGAAGAATATTTTTGCGTATCATTAGTTGTTTTCGAGCTATAGTGCATTATTTTATATAACAAATTAAGTCATAACAAATTAGTCATAATTTCTACGTTATTCATAAGCAGTTAATATATTCTTAAACATTGTTACACCATGTATATCAAACTCGCTCTATGACCCATAGTGTAATGTCTGCCTATCCATAATTTCAGATAGTATAACAGGTCATATTTACGATCAGAATTGGTGGTCACAATTTAGAGTAATATTCCCACCAAATTTTATTAAAATCAGACTTTATCTTTAAATATTTTGTAACAATTTTTGAATTTTCAAAAGAGTAAAAACACTTTGGCTTACATTTATATTGGAAATAAATTAAAGTCGGGTTTCTATCATAGAGCTAGTTGAAGTCGTTGTCAGATTTCAATGAAATTTAGATTATGTCAACTAATTTTTTTTCAAATTATATTCATAAATGTAACCTGTGACCCCATCAGAAATTTCGGATAGACGGACAGTGCAGTATGTGCCAAATAATGATGCTTTGATAAGAGAAATTAATTATTTATTTTAAGATATTATTAGAAAGAAATGTCTGTATAGGAGTTAAAAATATTAAGATTTGAAAATGTCATTGCAAAGAAAAAATAATGCACTATAGCTCGAAAACAGCTAATGTTATGCGAAAATATTCTTCAACCAAAATATAAGAAATTCAATTCTCTATAGAAATTATAATAACATCAAAACGCATACGACGCATAATAAGCGAGATATTCGATAAAAACAGATTTTAGTAACCTTTGACCTCCAATATTATGCGTTGATTTTAATACGGAATTAAAAATTTTTACTCAAAATTTTTTTTTTAATTTTTTAGTTAGAAAGTAAACAGATAAACGATTTTTGGAACTGTTACTTTGGAACTAGTAATGTCGTTATTAATCCTCGAAACAGTTCTGTCGAAAATGTTGTGATTACAAACGACTTCTATAAAGTTTCCATAAAATCAGTTCTTTCAATATTTTCATAGGTACAACACTAGTACAGAATTTCAGAACTATTTAAAATTTAAATATAATTGACTACTCCCAAAATTGATCTTAAACTCAACAATTTGAATCATAAATCGCTGGGAAAATATATAGTTATAAGTTACTATAATTTGATAGAATTTTTGTTCTAAAGTTGAATTTTAGATCAAAAAAGTAGGCCTTTTTGAGATGCACCGGGTCCCCTTCGTATCAAATGATTCGGAATCTTTTTTTCATTAAAAATATGACATTGAAAGTTTGCTTTTTAAAAAGTATGAATTCTTTAAACATCTTCTTTAAAAATTTTTCGATAACTTAAAATTAAAAAAATTTCCTATTTCCTAAAAAAGTAGCAAAAAATCGTCTTTCTTGAATTGTTTATACCCACCATCAAAAAAGATGGGTGATATATTGTTTTTGTCATTCAGTTTGTAACACATCAAAATATTTGTTTAAGACTTACAAAAGTATATATATTCTGGGTCCATATTAGATTCTAAGATTTAGATTTCTAAGATCTAGCCATGTCCATCCGTCTGTCTGTC